ACAAAAGACACGGAAGCAGGAATGAGCCTTAGCTTATTCCTGGCACTAAGAAAAGAGTAGTTTAATTAGAAAGGGGGGTACGGTGTGAGAAGAATATTGGACTGTCAGGAAACCGAAAGCCCAGAGCCAAGTACAGAACTTGGAATGGCAGACGTTTATAAAAATGTGCCATAAAAGGAAGGATGTAGAACAGTTGCTTCAGTTTTTCCCCAGTGCACGGTGCTTAAAAGTCCAACGTGCTTTCCATATTTATATTTAACTCATTATTTTACTTGGGGATGTCAACTGGAAAATGGGAGGCAAAATCAAGTCTTCCTGTGACAAAACAACTTCTTCACTGTTTTTCCTACAAAGGCTGAACAGATGGAAAAGCGGTTTGAGGCAGGGAGTGTCTTAATTAGCTGCTCGAGGGACCCAAGTCATCTGTGTGACTCATGTGAGCCACTTAAAATCAAGCCACCCAGAGGATGTCCTGAATTACCCAAGATACCATCTGGAAATGTAAGGGAGCAATGTTTGTGACAGCATCTTCCAGAACGAGGACCCTTCCCAGATTAACCTTTTGTTGATTTACTCTGGTCTAACAGTTGTCCAGTGACCAATAGAAGAAATAACTCTGGAGACGGCAGAGAACCTTAGAGATCACGGACCTCGGGCCCCCCTCACTATGTGAGGCAGAAGGCTGGCGGCGGGTGGTTGGCGGAATCTGGGTGCAGAGATCTGCGCTGAACCCTCATGTCTCTCCCTTCCAAGAAGAGCAACACCGCCCATGTTGTCATCCCATGAAACAGAAGACGTTCACACAAGGCATCTCCCTGAGGACATACGTGCCCCTGGGTGAAGCCATTCTCTCCCTCTGTACACAGAGGGCGGCATCGGCTCCGAACTGTCTATTTGTGATAACACATTCAACTTCGCAACATTTCATTACATTTAGAGGAAAGGAAACCTAAAACTGCACTGATCATCTTCATGCAGAGAAAAGAGCATACTCTTTGCACCTCCCAACAAAAGGCAAACCACGGTGGTTGGAGTCGGGACGAAGGAAACAGACGCACACATAACTAGCCCTCCGTGACGTAGCGACGCTCGGTGCCTCACCCCGTCCCCGGACTGTATTTTCTATTTTCCTCCTGCTCTGGCATTTGGGACCTCGCGCCTGGAGAGATGTCCCTCCCAGGGCAAGCTCATTCCTGGAGACGGCAGACTCGCCTGGCGGGACCCCACCCTCCTTAATACACTACCAACCAGTCTGGAGCCGGCGCCCAGCCAGCTCCTTCGCCAAGCTTTCACACGCCAGGACAATACCCCCCTTTCCCAAGTCACCCCGGGGCCAGATACCAGACAGCTGGAGACCGCCAGGGTGCCTCCACCTCTTCCTTCATGATGATCAATTCCAGGTCTCCCTGTCTTACCACATCTGCTTAACACAAACCCCAACTACAACTGTGAGGGAAATGCCAAGACACGGTTCTGCCCCCAGGAGGTTAAACGATGACAGTGAGAACCAAGAGAATATTTGTTAAGGGCTCCAGATCTGCAGGCACAAAGATACCCCTGCTTCTCAAAATCTACATGTTCTTTGTGTATGCGGTGGCAGAGAGGGTCAGAACAAGGGTATCTAATTAATTCAGAAGAAAATGAAGCAAATCCTTGTGGTTCAGGAGCTGGCAGTGACCGGAGAACAGCAGCTGTTGCCGCCCACGTTCTATTCATCGCTTAGGGAACATTCACAGACCTTCAGATTAGTGCGGTGCAGCTAGAGCATGAAATACAAGAAGACTCCTGGGGTAAACTGAGGCTAAAGAGGCAGGCCACAGCCAGATCACACAGCGCCTTACATGTCTCTGGACTTTATCCTACAGGTAACGTGGAGTCACCAAAGACATTTGCAAAAGAGAGTGATGCATCAGGTCTACGCGGAAAGAGCCTTCTGGGACCAGCTGTGGATATAAACAAAGCTCATGTTAAACAGGCACAAAGCATGTGAAAGTAAAGGCTTTTAAAATTCTTAGAGATTTTAAGAAAATCCAAGTGATTAAACAAATATTCTAAGGGTCAAGAAAATCTTGGAAACCAAGAATGAAGACTCAAAAGCTATTTTTTAAAAAGGTAAACTTATATTTTATGAAGGAACTTAAAATCTTTTATATGGAAAACAGTATAAACAAAGTTCATCGACAAACGACACATTTAGGGGGGAATTCTTCCCATTCAGAAGACAGAGTAGTTCTACCATGCAAAGATCTCTCTCATACCAATCACTGGGGGATAAAAGAGAATAGAAAGATGAGTATCTCTCTCTCTCACACACACACACACACACACACACACACACACACACTTCCCAAAAGAACCACTCTAAATGGCCAATAAATGTATAGAAAAAAGTCTAAACTCATAAGTAGTCATGCAAATGCTAAAGGAACAATGAGACAAACAGCTAATATCTATGAGACTGACAAGTCAAAAAGTAATATATGTCTCCTGGCAGAAATGTGAGTACTTATCGATGCTGATAGAAATGGAATTCATACAGATAGTACTAAGAGCAATAGTATTCAAAAGTAGTCCAATGACATCTACCAATATGTAAAATGTCCAGGCACTTTGATCCAACAATCCTCCTATTGAAAAGCTAGCCATAGAATAAAAAGTACCCACAGGGGCGCCTGGGTGGCTCAGTCGGTTAAGCATCCGACTTCAGCTCAGGTCATGATCTCACAGTTCATGGGTTTGAGCCCCACATCGGGCTCTGTGCTGACTGCCAGCTCAGAGCCTGGAGCCTGTTTCAGATTCTGTGTCTCCCTCTCTCTCTGACCCTTCTCTGCTCATGCTGTCTCTCTCTCTCTCAGAAATAAATAAACATTTTTAAATTCTTTTTAAAAAAAGAATAAAAAGCACCCATGTAAGAAAATAAATAAAAAGGTTTTTGCAGCATTTTTTATAGGAGTCAAAAAAGCTGGAGAGAAACCCAAAGCTCATCCACAGAATGCTAAAGAAGTTATGGTGCACCCACAACATGGAATAGTTTTCACCATCGAAAAGAATGGATACGGTTAGGCCAAGTGAAATACTGTTGATTGAAAAGCATAAGAAATGGAGAAAAGTAGCTGAGAAGGCGGTGTGGTGTGTTAGGTAAGAGCGCACACAGACGCCAGAGACGGGCCGCACATCCTGGCTCTGCCCTCTCTCACCAAACACAGGGTCTTGAGTGAGTTACTCAGTCCCTCTGAGCCTCTGCTTTGTCATCTGTAATGCCTCAAAGGATTGGACAAGAGCAACTGACTTACGACAAGTGAAAGCACCCAGCAAGCCCTCAGTCACCATTAGCCGCCATTATATGATCCCACTGTTTGAAAGCGATGGTCAGAAGTCTCATATCTGCTAATGTCTGTGTTTACCCCATCTTCTCTGGCGTGTTCTTTTTCTCAATGCCACCTGTCACCTCCTCCATTACTCATACACTTGTCACTTATTCATATACGATGTCTTTTTTGGTCTATCTCTACCCCACCTTAGAAGTCAAGTTCTGTGAAAGACAGGGTCCTTGGTCTGTCTTGCTCAGTGCTGTATTCCCAGTGTCTACCATGGTGCAGGGTAGTAGCAAGCATTCAAAAAAAGAAAAAAAAAAACGCTCAGCCTCTCAGTTGGAACGAATGTATGCGTGGATGTGTGTGTGAATGAATATGTGTACAGGTCTTGCTAGGAAACTATTTTCCATAAGTCTCTGGAATTTCTGCACATGTTTCGAGCAGAGGCATTAGCTATCTTAGTTTTGAATTGTCTTTTCAAGGATGTTTGGACAGTGAACCGCTTTGGAAGAGGGAGGTGGTATCTCCCTCCAGAGCAAAGGGGAAGTTGGGTTTCGATCTAGAAAAATAAAGAGAACGTGCCCCTCTCGGGACACAGGTCAGGCAGGCTGAGTCCTCATAAAAGAGTCAGGCACCCCACGTGCAGAGCTCCTCTCATGTGCAGATGTCGTCAGGCCCTCTCTGTGTGACCGTATGGGAACCGCACCCAGGAAGGGGACAGACACTGTCAGAACACCGCTGCTCCGTGAGCAATGATCGCCCTCTGTCTCTGAGCGGGGAGTCTCCTGTGTTCTGCCGGCATCCACGCGACGGCAACAAACGAACCCCTGGGCTTGTGAACTAGGGAAAATCCAGACTCCTCACAATTCCCGATAAACGACGTTTATGTTCGTTGTCTATCTGTCTACGATGACTTGAACATGGAGGCAAACATGAGAGAATGACTACGAGATTAATAAACTTGGGCGGATCAGAAGGAGGAAGGGGAAGGAAGCCAAGCAGAGAATGAAAGCACGACGCCCCAGTCCAACAAAGATGGTAACGGTTGTGGTGGCGGTCGTGCTAAAGCTGGCACTGACTCACACAGCACCCAGGTGTAGACAGACCCTGGAGAGATGTCTACCCTCTGAGAACCTGCTGCAGAATCCACATCCCAGAGCCAGTAGGCACGTCCCCACATCCCAATATTGCCCTGCACCTGCCATGGTAAGGAAGGACTGAGATTGGGTCAAGTGAGCTCTTAGGGTCTCAGGTGCCCAAATTCCAATCTGAGAGCCCCAGCATGCACCGAGAGCCGCGCTCAACCCCATCACAGGACGCTGTCATCTCCGAGTATGACTTCCTGCCTTGCTTTAGTTATCTACTTCACAACAAAGCCTTTATCGTGTGTAAGAATGCCAGAAAATGTATAGGTTAATTTGTTTTTTTAAAGGCTCTGAAACTCCAAATGTTGTCCTCAGCCACCCCCCCCAGCCACCCCCACCCCCCACTGAAATGATCAGGTCTCTTTCCAGGAAGAAAAGTTCACTTAAAGAAAGCTTTGTGAAAGCTCTGCTGTTTCGTGTCGGGATTCTTCCACAAGCAACTTTACAAGCTTTGGAGGAGATGCCAGCAAAGGCAGGGCCGGGTTCAAGACACACAGGACGGGGGGGGCAGACACTGAAGATACGCCATGGGTATACATACCAGCCTCTGCAACAGTCTGACCTGCCTTGGCTCCCTGAGAGCAACCTGTAAGAAGAAAAGAGCCATGAAATATGATTGTGAGGCCATTCGTAAATGAATTACACGAGGAGGGTTAAAACCGAGCCAAGCTACGGGAGAGATTATCCATCCTGAAAAGTAGATTGGACCCTTAATTAAACCGCTGCCAGGCCAGACTAGACTCACCCCCTTAAGTCCTGGTTGGCTGCTTGACCCATGATGTCACTACCTCACCTGAGGGTTCTTCTATCTGTTACAACAGTAAGTATGAAACAATTGAAAACAAAGAATTCATCAGAATATCCAGATTTGGTTTCGCCGTATTTCTGACTTGAAAATAAACCTCTTTTTTGTCTATTACAATGAGCGAATGTATTCAGTTCTACTCTGATGGGTTCAATTCTCCAACTCAAAACTTTAGGACACTCTGCAAGCAAAACCGAATTTACCTTGAAGTTTCTTACTGTACTTTTTCTGGCTTAATTATGCTTTCCCACATGTGGAAGAGGGGCAGGAGAAGGTGATAAAATCCTCATTGAAAAAACATTGTATTAATTAATCAGCCACTATGGACTCATTTGAAAGTCTTATTAGCTGATTGTTGAACATCATTCATAGCAAATCACTGTTTAAACAAAGTGTTAACTACCATTGCTGTGGGTAATAAATCATCCTTTCCAGAGGACAACTTGATAACGTAGATCAAAAACTTGAAAAATACGCCTAGACTTTATGAGTATCTTTTTATAACAGAGCTACAATGTGCAATTTACAAATATAATTCATTCACTTAGAGCGCACCAGTTAGTTTTTTTAGTATATCCACAGGGTTGTGCATTCATCCCACCATCAAGTTTTTTTATTATGTCAAAAAGAAAGCCTGCACCTCTTAGCTGTCACCTCCTAACCACTAATCCACTTGGTCCCCGTGGGCTTGCCCATCGTTGGCTGACGTTTCATAGGAATGGACTCTTACGGTAGACAGTCTTTTATGACTGGCTTTTTTCACTTAGTGTCATCTTTTCAAGGTCATCTCTGTTTTGTTTTGTTTTTAATTTTTTTTAATGTTTTATTTAATATTGAGAGACAGAGACAGAGTACAAGTGGGGGAGGGGCAGACAAAGAGGGAGACACAGAATCCGAAGCAGGCTCCAGGCTCCGAGCTGTCACCCCAGAGCCTGACGTGGGGCTTGAACCTGCAAACCGCTTGATCATGACCTGAGCCAAAGTCACATGCCCAACCGACAGAGTCACCCAGGTGCCCTGAGGTCATCCCTGCTGTAGCATTTGTCAGTACTTCATTCCTTTTCATGTCCAAATACTATTCCTTTGTACAGATAGACCATATTTTGTTGATCCATTCACCAGGGGATAGACATTCAGGTTATTTCCATTTTTTGGCTTTTATGAATAATGCTAAACTTTTTGAACAGATATCCAGGAGGGGAGTGCCTGGGCCATACAGTAAAGTTAAGTTTGACTTTTTAAGAAATTGCCAAATTGTTTTGCAAGGTGGCTGCAACATTTTTACATTCCCACCAGTAGGCATGTCTTTAACTGAAAAACCCTACTTATAGAAAAGTACTGTGGGAGAAAAAAAAAATAACAGAAAAAAATAAGAAAATTCTTTACAACTTTTAAAACAATTGTTAATAATTAGAAATGGCATAAAATATTTAAAAAGAGGTCTGGTTAAGTATATTATGATACACAGATCAAGCACAGAAAATAATGATATGTATCTATATTTATTGGCATCAATAAATGTTCACTTTACTGAACTTTGATGCTCGTCACCAAACATTTATCTAGCTGTCTACAGGAGTATTGCATTTCCTCGGTCCGTTGTGGGAAGGCAGGGCCATGTGACTGGCTCTAGCCAAGAAGTTATGAATACAAGTAGCATTTGTCACTTCTGGGTTAAATGATTTAATTGCAGATGTACCGTCCCACAGAACTGCTTTTTCTTTCTGGCACAGTAATTAGCAGTGTTTGAAATGGTAGCTGCTCCTTCAAGCCCAAGTTCCCCACCACCGGCCCAGGACAGACGAGTTGTACATGCTCGGTATCTAAGACATTGAGATTTCGAAGCCATCGTTACCACAGAATGACCTAGCCTCTCCTGATGAATAAATCCATGACTCGTTTTATGTGATTAAATCTGGCAACAAAACATCACATCTAACATGATCTCGTTTTGTGTAAGTCCACGTGTTTGTATGTGTAGAATGTGTACCGAAATGTAATGGCTGTTACCTGTGGTTGGCTCAACTTTTTCTCTTTACACTTCCCTGTATTAACTCACATTTTGACAAATTCCTGTGTTTTACTTCCATAACAGAAAAAAAAGACCAATAAAGAGATTTCCATTTGGGAAACTGAACTCATAACAGTAACTGCTTTAATCCCTATCCTCTCCTGATCTCCCTGGGGAAAAATATATATATATGTGTAATATATGCTATTATAAATTATCATCATAAGCCAGTACAGAGTGTCCTATTCCATAGAGCACGGAACAGAAGAAATGCCACAGGACTCACACTGACTCCTACTGCCCTGACTCCAAATGAGAATCCAAGAATGAGTAGGATACACTGGTTTCTCTTTCTAAAACGAGGGGGGATGTCTGAGACGCTCTCCACGGAGCTCATAATAAGCATTCTGGGCCAGCCTCCCCCCCCCCACCACCACCACAACCAACCACTGCTGCAGGTTCATCTCAGGCCTTTCCCTTCCTCAAACCGTGGAATAGTCTGGAGATCGCTGAACACAGCTATGGTCAGAGGGAAAGCCCAGCCTCTCTCAGGTATTATGATCTGTGATTGATCTAAAAAGTATTTTCTTTGAAGTTCCCTCCTCTGTAAAATAGGTCCTCCAAGAAAATAAACAAGCTTTACTGAGAACAAGAGAAGTTGGTTTTTCATTCTTGAGATGACTATCTGATGTCTCAGGGGATCACCATGGCAGCACTTCAGTCCAAGTTTAAACGAGACTGAACCAGAATCAAAACTTTCTGGTACAGACAGACTCCTGGTGCCAGCTAGGATTGGCTCTGGAAATTACACCAATGTCATCAGCATTGTTTTTAGTTAGGAATTCCTGATCCCTTTTATTGTTCAAGGGTTTCCCATTGGCCTCATAAGAATCTGAGAGTGGGATTCAAGACCAGATACGTAGGGGCGCCTGAGTGGCTCAGTCGGTAAGGCATCCGACTTTGGCTCAGGTCATGATCTCATGGTTCGTGGGTTCAAGCCCCACGTCGGGTTATGTGCTGACAGCTCAGACCTGGAGCCTGCTTTGAATTCTGTTTCTCCCTCTCTCTCTGCCCCTTCCCTGCTCCTACTCTGTCTCTCATTCTCAAAAATAAATAAACATTTAAAATTTTTTTTAAAAACCCAGATATGTAACTGATTCCAGCTCATTGTCAAGGACTGCCATGAGCAGTAATCTCAAGAGCTTGGGGCTCCAAATCGTAGACTTTCCAGATGGCTCAAATAAAATTCTTTGCTCTACTGAGCTGAGCTTATTTCTCAAGCATCAGAACAGAAGATGTCCAGGCTGCAATATTTACTGAGAAACATAAGCCATGATCCTTGCCATCGAGGACCATACTATGTAACTTGAAAGAAAGCAACGTGCTCTTGCAAACTTAACTGACAGGGTAGTTTTTGTAAGTTACAAAGGAAACAGACAAAAGTAGAGTTTGCTCTGCTCCCAGTGGCCCTTGAGAAGCTTTATGATGGAGGTATGGTAGAACCAGTCATGCAGGGGCTTGGGGAGTGGGGTGAAAGGGCAGGAGAAACTGATGGACAATCAGTACAGGAACTATGTGGAGAAATAGCTTCAGAGATCTCCCACCGCCTCTCCAACCCGTATGGGCCAAGCAGCAGGGTAGAGGGTAGGTGAAGGTTTCCTTTGTGCAAAGAACGTAGCAATCACAGTCACAGCTATGGAGTCTAGAATCCCCCATCTGCATGATCAGTTAGTCCAGCTCGAGGTAAAAGGTGGCAGGTACTGCTTAAATGTTCACAATCTGAATAGCAGGGAGTGTTTTTTTCCCCCAAGATTTATCACAGTGTTGGATCACGAGTAGAAGAGAAGAGAAATACCCTTGGAGCATTCCAAAAAGTCCATAAATGGGAAGGGCATGGGGAGAGAGGAAGACAGTGAACTCTAATTCTAACCAGGGTGAAAGATACCCAGAATATGTAGAGCACAGGCTTCCCTCTTAGCAGAGATGCTTTAATGACCCAGGATGACTCAAGAGAGGCATAAAGACAGGCTTCATTCCCTCTCCTCTTCCCTTTGAGCTCTATCACTAGGTCTGTGACCCCAGGTCCCATAACAGATCCAAAGGACGCTGCATTTGAGCCAACCTCAGCCACACCACATCAAGGGACTGAAGACGTGAGTTCCTACAGGGCTCTGTGCTAGGAACCTACCTACCAGTTGGCCACCATCCCTGAAAATATTCTGAAATCCTGACACCAAGATCCAGGAACTCATATGTCAGTGCCTCAGATATCTCTTATAGGCACTGAAACAAGACCTAGGCCTACAGGTTGGAAAGGCACTGGAGTCACCAACTGTCACCTGGACTGAGGATAATTCACCTGAGAAGACCCCTACTTGGGTAAGTCTACATGGCTCACACACAGAAGTTTTACTCCTTGGGAGTGATGTTGCTATAGGTAGTTCAGCTATTAACCGTTTTCAATTCACGGTGCCCATAACCTCAGCCATGGAAGAAGAAACTTCACCTTCGGGTTACAATGCCAAACAATTTCCACGTAGGTTTAAAAAAAAAAAAATGGCCACTGGGCTTAGGCAATTCACTGTTTCTTTTCTTCACCTGTGAAAAACAAGGCTGATGGACTTTGCCTCTAGGAAAATAAGGAGGGGATTCAGGACACCCTCCCACCACCACAAAGAGCTCAGGCCTCCATCCCAGGGCCCCACCTTCCTAAATGCAGCCAGTCACTCCTTAGCAAGAGAGAGCTCTCTGGGGTCTCCAAACCGAAGCCTGAAAACGCGGGAGGCGAGACTGCTTTCAGTGGAGCATCCAAGGCTTGGGAAGGAGTGCTGGTTGGAAAAAGGACCCAGTTGTCTATACGTCCTTATCCTCTCTCCCCCTCCCGCTCAAAGAAACGAGAGATGGCTGGCTTGGCAGTGAGTAAATGTCTGCACTCTCTCCGGAGATAAGCTCCTTCTGGTTCAGCCTCATGACTCCATTTCTCCAATCACGCCCTTGCACATGAAGGAGACGGTACAGAGTGGCCTGGAGCCCACAAAATCTCGTATGGACTTTACTTGTTAACGAGTTAAGTCCAAAAACAAGAAAAAAAAAATGTGTCGTCTCGATTCTTGCTTCGTGTTTCTGACTCCAAAGGTTTGGTGGCACGTGACAGATCATCAAAAATTAACACTCCAGAAATTCTCAACTCAGGGGATCAGAATAGTATCCCACCACAAGCCTATCCTAAACACTATCCACATGCCAGGAGCCACAGATAAACATCACATCAAGACAAATTCCATTAGGTTATAAGTATGAAAGTGGCTTTGTCTTTGGAGGAGACCTTGAAAGCCTGGCTTTGGCATTGAGCACACCTGGGTTCTACCCCGGACTCCGCATATATCACTCGGGTATGTCTCCTGTGGGCAGATTTCCATGGCTCTCCTGGAAAGTACGCACCCAGAGACTTTCCTTACCGTGGTAGTCAGAGGTTTAACCAGGCTGTCCAAAGACAACAAAAAGTAGCTCATTTTACTTTAGTGCTTACTGAATACACGTACTTTGCCTGAATTAACCCACTTCATCCTCGCAACAACCATAAGAGCAGAAGTGGGTTTATTATCTTACTGTTACTTAGAGGCTAATAAAATGTAAGCTTCAGGATCTCTCACTTGTGCGGTCCCTTAACAAAGGGGGACACCTGTGGTGTTTGTAAGCCTATAAAAACGAGGCATTTGTTGTGATTTATCGTCCTAAATAAATGTTCACTTTGGCACCTAATTTTGTGGCCGTAATTTGATATACCTTTTCTCCGAGAGGGCCCTGCCAATTATGTAAACTTTATTTGCCTCTGAAAACCTAGATCCATTACCCTGCTGATGAGAGTAACAATTCTATCCTGCAGATGATGAAACTGAGGCCCAGAGAGTTTAAGTCACTTGTCCAAGTACACACAGCCAGTTAGTGCTGGGAATGCACATTTGAACGCAGGCAGTCTGGTTCGGGATGCTCTTACTCATACCCTTTTATGCTTCTTCTTATTTTTACACAGAGCCACTAGCAAACTCTTTGGGACATTTTGAACATGCAATAATTGGTCACTATCATTATTTTGTAAATGAAAAACTGCTTTTGCACCAAGAGGAATACAGCCCTATCCTGATTTAAGGAAGCCACATCATTTTGAAACTTGGGAAACAGATAAACCTGTAACAGGCTGATTTTATACAAGAGACTTCCCTTTTAACATTATTTTCCTGGAAGGTTCTTTTAAAGCAGTACTATTCTAGGTGTGGTCCGCAGATCATGTGTATCAGGATGCCCTGCGCCCCACCCCAAACCTAATGGATCTAAACGGATGGGAGTGGGGGCTCGGGAGTCTGCATATTTAACGAACTCCTGAGTGTCTTGTTTGAAGATCACTGGTCACCAATGCCCCACTCTGGGTGACATTGTTTACAAATGGGGCGGAGGACCAGAGGGCAGAAAGGAGCTTGAATTTGAGGTGTCATTAGTGATATGGCCAAATGAAGAGAAATAACAATAGCAGGTGCAATTCTAGCGAACAGACAAGTTCATGTAAGTTAAAATTTACATAAAATTCACCTACTCATTTACAGTAAAAAATTAAGTTTGTATATCACTTTGAACCCATGGGGAATAAGCATCAACTACACGGCCACAGACTCTTGTTTTAAGTATATTAATTCCTTCAATCTTCAAGCTCCTTTTAATTAATTTCATCATTGTCACTCTCGAGATGAGTAACTAGAGATGCACAGACAGATGAAAAGTAACTCTCCAGGAAGTGCAGAGCCAGGATTTGGACCCAGGAAGTCTGGTTCTGGAGCCCGTGTTCTTAAATCCTACGTCTCACACACACACACACACGCACGCACGCACGCACACACACACACACACAGAGGTTTGTTCATTTAATAGAGATAAAAAGGTAAAATTGCAAACTTTCATAGGACTTCGTATCTTGCAGTTTTTGTCTGAGTTAGTCATTTTCAAGATGAATAAATAGCGCTGTGGTTTGAATGCAGCAGGAAATCCTTGAAATGGGCCAAAGCCAGTCTGTGCAGGGAAAGTTTCGAGCTCACTTGCTAAGCTCACTTGCTCTGGCCGATGCTGGCGCCCTCATCCCTCCTCCTCGCTCCCTCCTAAACGGAATCCTTGTTTCAGTTCCTCCCACACTTTCCTCCCTCCACCCCTTCCACAAAAGTTTCAAGCTCTTTACCCCAAATTCCTTCCCTCTGCACTTCAGCCGTCCAAGCCCAGCAGCAGGAGCTAATGTAAGTGCGGACACCAGGCCAAGCCCTCCAGGCTTATTAACTATCAACCCTTAACACCCTAGTATTGCCCACATTTTACAGAATTGGACGTTGAAGCCCCCAGTGACTTGCCCAGCATCACAGAGCTGGCTAGTGACAGGACCAGGAATCGAACCCATGCAGCCTGACACCAAGCCTGTGCCCTTGATGACTTTACTACCATGTCTACCACTTATTGAGTGCCCGCTGCACACCAGGTCCTTTACACCAACTAGCAGCTGAATCCTTACAAGTCCGCTCGAGAGGAGGGGTATTCTCTGCGGTGACCAACAGACAGCAAGGCCCAGAAGGATTACGCAGCCTGTCCAGGCCACACAACTGTAAAGGGCAAAGCAAAGACCAGGTTTTCTTTTCTGGATCCAAAGCCTGCACTTTCTCCACTCCACCTCTCACCCTCCTGGAATTTTTATTGGTTATTGGTTATTCCTCCTGGCAACCGTACAAGCAAACGATCGCCTAGTTTATTCTGCAGAAAGCACATCCATGTGCAGAGTCGACCAGAGAGGACCCATTTTCCAGATCTGCTCTTCAAACCAAAGTGCTGGAAAAGGCCAGGGCCAGTATGCCTACTTATCACCTGTTCCCATCGTGTGAAACATGCTTTAAGCTAAACAATTTTAAAATAATTTAAATGGCGCATGCGTGAACAGCACCCAGAGATGCAGATAAGCATTGCCTGCTTTAACTGGGACACGGCCACTTCCCCCAGGAGGTCTTTACATGGATATCTGTTGTCAGTTCGTCTTATGTTTTTCAATAGGCTTTTCTGTTCCTCAGACATGGCATTGAGCATTCATACATGTATGATTTATTCACCTGTGAGGTTAAGTCTTTTTTTTTTTTAAATATTTTTATTTATTTCTAGGAGAGAGAGAGAGACAGCGTGAGCAGGGGAGGGTCAGAGAGAGAGGGAGTCACAGACTCTGAAACAGGCTCCAGGCTCTGAGCTGGCAGTCAGCACAGAGCCCGACGCGGGGCTCGAACCCACGAACCGCGAGATCATGACCTAAGCGAAAGTCGGACGCTTAACCGACTAAGCCACCCAGGCGCCCCAGGTTAAGCCTTTTAAAACGTGAATTCTTGGGGGGCACCTGGGTGGCCCAGTTGGTTAAGCGTCTGATTTTGGCTCAGGTGGTGATCTCTCGGTTCATGGGTTCGAGCCCTGAATCGGGCTCTGTGCTGACAGCTTGGACCTGGCGCCTGCTTCGGATGCTCTCTCTCTCTCTCTCTCTCTCTCTCTGCCCCTCCCCCATTTGCATTATGTCTCTCTCTGTCTCTCAACAATAAATAAATGTTTAAAAACAGTTAAAACATGAACTCTGGCAGATGGACAGAATATTAGCTAGGGGAAGTGAGCCCTTGGTGTTTGGTCTTCCCCCACCACCAGGCCACCTTTAAACTGCGAACCCATTGATAAAAACCTGATGGGAAAGTCGCGTTACCCCGGTTTTCAGATGGGGAAAGTGGAGGCTTCTGGGAGTTTGGAACTTCTAAACTGCTTTTCCCCTGGAAAACTAGGAGCAACAGCAGTAACACACAACCACTACATGCGTCCTAATGAAGAAACTTTGTAGCTAACTGGGGGCTCTCGCTCAACAATGAACACCGTCCACAGCAACAAACCAGCAGAAATCCGCGCAGATAACAGGAGTCCAGATCTGGTCGTGCAGGACGTCAGGTCCCAGACACAATTCTGCAGGAAGTTCACCCCGCGGGCGACGGCCAAGAGCGGCCGGCAGATGGGGGAGCTCGGGAGAAGGCCGGGGAGCGGAGAGGAGACGGGTGCTGTGCGACAGGAGGCGGGGTGGTCCCCCGTCCTCGCGTCCAGGACCCGTCCACCGGAGTCCGTCCGACAGCCACGCGCCACAGAAGCGGGTGGGAAGGGATGGCAGCCCGCGCCCGGGGCCGTGTCTGGGTCCTCCCGCCTCTACTTACTTGCTCCGAAGTGTCACCCCGGGGCCGAGCCTCCTCCGGCGACCCCGCGCAGAGCGGCAGCCCCAGGCACAGCCCCAGCAGCAGGAGCATGGCGGGGGCCAGAGCGCGGCAGGGTCCGGCGGGGCGCGCTCGCTCGAGGGCCCGCTCCGGGGCTCCGCGGCTGCACCGCGGCCGGCCCCGCCTCCCCGCCCCCGGCCCGCCCCGGCCCGCCCCGCCCCCTCCGCGCCCCGCCCCCGCGCCCCGCCCCCGGCCCGCCCCGGCCCGCCCCCTCCGCGCCCCGCCCCCCGCCCCGCCCCCTCCGCGCCCCGCCCCCGGCCCAGTCGGGTCTCCACTGCCCCAGGGGGTGGCTCCGCAGGCCGGCCTCCCTGTGAGCGCGGCTGGCCCCCGGGTCCCCTCCGCGGCCCGCCCTTCAGCCCTGCCCTCCTCGCCCTGTATCCCTCTGTCGCCTTCTGCCGCCCCCTTCCGGGCTTATGACACCTGCCACCCCATCCCCAAATCTTTCTCTCCGGCAAGGTGTGCAATGCTTCTTCCTGGACTAGCTAAAATTCCTGTTGCAGGAGAATACGGGAGTGGCCAGCCTGACCCGCAGGATACAGCCCACAGCCCCCCCCCCCACATGAGCTATATATCACCCCCTCACCTGCTGTGTATACACCCCCTCACCTGCTGTGTATACCACCCCCTCACCTGCTGTGTATACCACCACATCCCCGCACCTGCTGTATACACTCCCCACCCTTGCCTGCTATATATACCAATACTCTCATCTGTTAAATATACCCCCTTCCTGCCGTATATGCGACCACAGCCACTCCCTACCTGCCAGCATAAAGCCAACATGTGACCTTCTTACCTCTGCCCAGAGAATGGCATATGCCTCTTGGCATCCTGCACTGATGCATAAAAGCCAAATTAAGGGACACTAATTAGTAGTCTAATGCAGAGGGCACTAGCAGTGTTGTCTCCTTTGATGAAGTTCTGGCTTAAAGGGGCAGAAAAGGAGAGGCTAGAATGGGCCCTGTGTAGTAGCATCTCTAAATTTTTGGTTATTAATCATGAAAATAAATATCGTTGTGGATGTCAGTTACAAACTATTGGTGATAATTCTGTCCTGCCTTAGGAAGAATGATCTGGCAGGCACCCCCACACGGGCTTTGAGAGCCTGGACACCAAGTTTTTAACTGGTAAACACACAATGTAGCTACTAGAGCTGCTTGTTTCTTTCAACTTTCAAAAGACAATCGCTTCAAAGACATTTTCTCTGTCTTTGTAAGAATTATATTTAAACCCATGTGCTGAATGATACTGAGAGGTCGCAATAGCCCCGATGGCGAAGAACTGGGAAATGGCTAACTCAAACAATAGAACATCCATCCTGTGGAGTCTATAAAATTTTTTTTAAATGTTTTATTTATTTCTAGGAGAGAGAGAGAGAGAGAGAGACAGCGTGAGCAGGGGAGGGTCAGAGAGAGAGGGAATCACAGACTGAAACAGGCTCCAGGCTCTGAGCTGGCAGTCAGCACAGAGCCCGACGCAGGGCTCGAACCCACGGACCGCGAGATCATGACCTAAGTGAAACACTTAGTCGGACACTTAACCGACTAAGCCACCCAGGCGCCCCCATCCTGTGGAGTCTTATACAGCCAGTAAATAGAATCATAAGGTCTGTGGAAATGGCGGGGTGTGGGGGAAGGTTGACAGTGTAATCTAAAGGAACGTATTAACAGTATGGTTATAATTAGGTTAAAATACATATTCACGCACACAAGAACTAGGAAAAAGACATGGAAAATGAGAAGAACGGGTGGTTAGTTTATGGTGACACCCCTTCTTCTTAAAATACCTTATTTACTCTTATTGAAATGCTGTTTGTTCAACACAGACATTAGGAGAAGGGAAAGACCATGTTGCCATTGTAAAATAAAGGAAAATCACTGGCAATAGCAGTTAATCATGTCTAAGCCTGACCACCGACTAGGTAAAATACACGCAACCAACAAGAAGCAGCAGCAGGTGGTCTAGCAAGGTTTTAAGACAACCTCCCTCGGAAACAAGAACGCTGCAGAAGCGTCAAAGGCTTTTTGTTTTTAGTTCTTTAACATAATCTACCAATGAGGTTGCCCATGCACCCTGTCCCCGGGCTGACTCAGAAACTTGGCCGCGTATAAAATACGTGCACCCCTTCTCCTCGTCTCTAACTGAGGAGCATAGTCCCAGAACTTCTGGAATCAAAGCTTGCCTATTCCCCTTCTCCTCCCAAAAGACAAATACCTACTTATGACCCGAAGTTGAACTGGGGCAAAGCCGGATGATTTGAAAGGGGACAACAGCTACTGTTGTTTCGATCCTCCAGCCCAACTGGGACCTCATCTTTGACCCCCCTTCCTGCTACCCCCTCGCCGTCTCAGCTCTCTCTGGCCACATGGCTGCTCTTTCCACAGTTGTCATAACTGGTCTGCAGAGGTCCAACGTCAAGAAAAAGGACTTTTACTTCCCTCGTCTTGTAGGACTCTCCAGTTCTACTGTCCGCCATGGTGCTGATGCTTTGTCATGTTCGGTTTAAGGACGACTTTACCCATTGGATCGGAAATGCCTGGAGGAAAAGCATCTTCCACAACTTCTAGCACTGTGCTAAATACGTGGTTAGCCCTTGCTCAACATTTGATGAAGGAAACTAGGAGATGGGAGGCTGGGGGGTGGGAGCCCGGGCTGGCTGTGCTGGGAAACAGGGCTGGGCTATAGGCCCAGCGTGGCCGCGGTCTAGCCTCGTGACTTGAGAGGCTTTCAGAAATTCCTGGTATTGCAATACCGTAATAGCCCTGGCTTCTTTGTGACTTCTGAGCATCTGTATGACTGAATAGGTTGCTCTTTAAATGGTTTTAATGTTTATTTATTTTTGAGAGAGAAAAACAGAGAGTGAGCAGGAGAGGGGCAGAAAGAGAGGGAGACACAGAATCTGAAGCAGGCTCCAGGCTCTGAGCTGTGAGCACAGAGCCCGATGCGGGACTCAAACACATGAACAGTGAGATCATGACCTGAGCCAAAGTCAGACACCTAACCAAGTGAACCACACACACCCCCGCCCCGGGTTGCTCTTTAAAAACTATGTAGGTGTAATAAGACCCAGTGAAAGTTTTCCAAAACTGTTCACAAGCATGGGTCATGATTTATATTGGCCTTATAAATACAGATGAAAAATTAACCGTTCCCCCAAAAAGAGGCTGAGGTGCACCCTCCCATATTTGCCTTTTGAGCCCATGTTTCTCATTTCACCTCCAGAGGAGCTGGTTATCCAGTCTAAGTCTCCTGAGCTCTTAGAACCTCAGAGCTCACAGCTCAAACCTCCAAAGACCCTAAAGGACATCTTGCCCACTACTGATTTTTCCATCAAAGACATGTCACAGGACTTGCCCAGGACCTCACTCCATTAGAGACAAATGTCTGGCAAGGCCCCAGATGTTCACTGACAGAATCTAGTGTGCAGTTCAGCAACAAGGGCTTCAGAGAGAAGGACCCACATGCGTCTGAGACGCCTCTGTGCCAGCTCTTGCTAGGAAGTGGCTCCCCGAATCACTGAAGGATGGGCCAAGTTTCCAAAATGTTAGCATCAGACTCATCAGGGTCACAGGCTTTATCCTGGTCTCCTGCTTGTGACTATCAACCAATGGGCCAGCAGCCATGGCCAAGCCAGTCAAGGCAGCGACGGAAAAGGAAAAGGCGGGGGTTCTGTCTCTTCCTCGCCCTTGAATCTGCACCCCGAAGCCCCAGGCTCCTCTACCCAGCTTCGGTGAGAATCAAGCCCTCCCTGAGTCCTCTGGGCTCCCCCTTCGATCCCTCCCATGCCCCACGCTCTTTCTTGAGTATCTGTGAGGCCCCTGTCCACATCTGGGCCAGCCATTTCTCCCCTCCTTGCTCGCATCTTTTTATCTACTTGTATGGCCCTGTGTTTCTCTTGGATCCCTGACAAGTTTGTATAATTGCTACAGTTTCTTACAACCTTGGCTTTTCTTCCCCCTAAATTAAAAGGACGAGAGAGGAAATGGATTCCCTTCAACTCTGGCTCCATATTTTCAGGAGCACAGGATATTTGGGAGTCTACTCACACCCACTTTTTACCTTCTTTACCAACCACTGAATGTTATCCAGGGAGGAGATTTATGAAACCAGAAATAGAGAACACAGGGTTTCTAATTTCTTCTGACTGATGATTTGCTGAAATTATCGACTATTCACAAAGTGTATTGCATCATATCTTAAGTATCTGCATACAGATTTGATTCTATATTGGGAAGGACTGGCTTGCGCTCACATGTTCTGGTATACAGTAGACACGCATTATGTTTGATGGATGCATGAAAGAATGTGTACCTGTCATTATGCTCCCCTGTACTAGCTGTGTGCGATACAACAGAAATTGTAGACATGGTCCATCACTGGAAGAGCTGACCATTTGGATGCAAAGATGAAACTAACAAGCAACATAATCTGAGCTCAAACGTGAGATGGTAAGTATAGAAGAGTGTGGGACACAGTCCCAGAAGAGGGTGATTGGAGAAAGCTTCACGAAGGATGTGGGAGTTACTGGCGTGAATCAGATTTTGGAAGCCAGCGGAGAAGAGGGAGACTAAGGATATGGAGAAAGGAGAGGATACAAGAGTAGAAATGGCTTTGATGTCGGGAAAATGACCATACAAGACATAGGGCAGGAAGGTTCCAGTTTGGGGAATTACCTATAGAGTTTTCTTGAGCTGCGGGGTGGAAAAGGCGCGTTCATGATCCCCAAGTACGAATCCGCTGACCAGTAGCTCATGACAATGTTTTCTCCAGCTTCTTGCAAAAGGGGAAAAATGAAGGCATTGCAGTCCACCTTTTTAATAAAGTTATTTTTTTTTAAAGAACTGTCCTGTGCTCTAACGGTCTTTGTTATTCCCATCAAAGACAGTGTCTCACTGTGGGCTCATGGGGTGGAAGAGTCAAACGACTATATCCCCAGGGGAGGTCTGTATATTGTGGGGTGAGGAGAACGGTGAACCAGAACTTAGGAAGGTGCTTGGGGTGTTGCCAGGGGGCACGGGGGACACGCCATTGAAGCACCTGCCCACATACCCCACAAACATTGCACCATACCCCTAGAAGTTGTCAA